ATGCGGATAGATTGGTTTTATGATTTAGGGTGATACGTATGAGGGGAGTTTTGAGAGTGCATCCATTGGGGGTTGCATATTCGCCTTTCTGGACTTGTGTATTTGGAATTCGAAATTGGAAAATTCACGAAGGCTTTAGATAGATTCAGCTTTACTTCCTTAGATTATTCCTCCACTTTTATCGGTTATGTGCTCTTCATCTGATCAATTCTCCCGATCAACTGATCTGTACATTTGCTCAAACGCCATTTGTATCATAAATTTAGGACCTTCAACTTGAGCATATTCATTTGCCCCATTTTCAGAAATGTAACCATGCTTTTTGGTCCTATCATTTTCAGCAAGATGAACAGATTTTGAAAAGCAAATACAATCTGATCAAAAATTCTTTGTTTCCAAGATACAGCCATTTGGATGAAATCATCCAATTGCATGTTCTAAACTTGGCCTGTTTGGTTGAATGAGTTTCGCCTATGCCATCATGAATGAACTTCAGTGAATCAGCAGAAATCAATATATCAAGATTGCGTTCAAAACGAATAATCAAAACTTGGAGTTGATATGATGAGTTGATATTTTGATGCAATCACTTGGCATGTGTAAAGCGATGCATACCATAACGATACGTACCTCTAAGATCCTCAACGACAATGCTGTCCTCACGTTCGGATATTTGCGATGCCATCCCCAGAACGATCTCATCAACCGAATATTCCTGCACGATGTCTTGCGCATTCCACCAGTTCTGACATAGTCTTAGCGCTGGATAGCCACCGATTTCAGTACGAAATTCACATGTTCCATTGTTGCGCTTACGGAACAACAAACCGGGTGGAATCTAAAAGTATCGAATGCTTCAGATTTCTTACGAATTCGACTGCAATTGCGTTTGCCCGCAAGCAATTAATGTGATGTTTAGTGATGTTTTCAGAGTGAATCTGATACTTGAAAATGTTCAAGCAACATCATAACTTGAATGCACTTTTTTCGATAGAGTGCTTTCTTCACTTTTGCGATCGCCAAAGTGTCATCAATTAACCATTTCACATAACGACAGCCGCGCATAAAGAAAAGTTTTTCAAATCAT